GCTGAGTTACCTCTACTACCCCTAAGGACTCTCTCCTACACTGCCAAACTCCCTGGTTCTCTCCACAGAGCTCTGAAAATCCATGTGTGAAACCTAAAACGAGGGGAAAATACAAGGAGTTGGAAGCACAGTTGGCATTTTACACAATTATATTAAAAGGAATTTAAAACACAGCAAAAGATGAATCTGAGACTGCAGTGCTTATCACTGGCACCTTCAGGCTGTGCTCCCAGGCAAAGGAATGAGTGAGGAAACAAAACCACTGGAGATCTAACCTTGACCCCAGCCCTGGAACCTGCACAGTTCATGCTTTCAAAGTGTTTACAAAAAGGTATGCTCACAGCTATGCATAATAAAGGCCATTTTAATGATACAACCTTTTCCAAGCATACTTTTCCCCTTCTTTGGAGCAAAATAATTACACCTGAGATGAAAGTTAATGAGTAGGCTCAAGCTTTTTTTGAGAACCTGGCTTGACAAATGTATGTTGAATTCAGAAAAAATTAATATGCCTTATCAAAATAGGAGTTAATTTCATGGATTACATTACTGCACACACACCCATTTACTGGTTCTTAGCACTTACCACTTTTATTTTAAATCAAGATAATTTTGGTATTTAAACAAACAGGCTAATGGGCAGGCAAGATAAAATAAAACCACTGCAGTCAAAAGCCTCTAAGTATTAGTACACACCTACACATCATAACACAGTAAAATTACTTTACAGGTATGCTGGATCAATAAAAGCCAAGCATAATAAAGAGTTGATGCTTATCAAGAGGTGGTACTCAGACATGCTTAGAAAATTTGACAGCCTTCTGCTAGATCCCAGTTTGGTTGCCTCAAGGATGCAGAGGGGACCCTTAAAACAAAACCAAAAATGGAAAACATCAAAGTAGCCACCTGCTTTGAAAAACTGCTGCCATGTGTCAGGCATTCACTTGCCAAGGGAGTGGCAAATTTCTTAGCTTTCCTGCACTGGCTGGTCCTGATACCACAATCAAGGCTCAAGAGTTAATGATTTCCCTCTGTGAAAGCTCCAGGAGCCAAAGCTGCAGGGCTGGGCTCTGGCCTTGATCAACACTTGCAACCTGCTATTCATCCAGCCCTACAATGTGAAGCACAGAACCCCTCAGGTGAGGCTTGGAGCACAAGGTCAGTATTTTGTTTAAGGTTGACTTTCCTTCTTCCTGCAGGGCTGGTCCACTTAGTGAGCTCTGAAGGCTTGTATCTTGTTACTGCATCAGGGCTGTAACCAGAGCCAGCTGCTGGCCAGAGCCCAAACAACCTGCACTGGCTGCACAGTCTGTTAACCCTCCTCATTCCAAACCAGCACTGCCAGCGGAACACCAAACTTCAGATCCACTTCCACAACACCCTTCATTCCGTACCCACAGCTCCATCATCTGGGGAAAGGACACAAAACTCATCCAGGCTGTGGGATTCCATCTTTTGAACACCATGCCTTTGCCAACAGCTTCTGTTGATGGGGTTTTTTTGCTTCTAAGCAGAAGGCTTTGTTTCTAAAGTGCTTTTAAGGCAGATGCTTATTTACAATTGGTGACTGCTCAGGTAAAAGCAGGGAACCCTGAAGGGATCCTGATCATTAACAAACACGTCCTGTCCCAGAGCCTGAGCACATCCATTCAGAGTGAATTTTGGAAGAGCAATTAAGTTCTACCTAGATTTGAATCTCCAGTCTTCCATGAGTGCCTGCAGCACTTTGAAATGCAGGTACAGGATGCAATATATCTGAATTTGCTGCTTGAAGAGGAGAATTCTGCTTTTTGCTGCAAGCACACAACATTTGGGAATACATTCACAGGTGCTCAGAAACAGTGAATTGTGAATTCCAGAAGTCTGCTCTGGAAGAATGCTTTCAGATGACTGATGAAGCTCAAATATTCTCCTATTCCTGGCACACACCTTCCCCCAAACAGGTGCACAGAAAATTCTCCACCATCTCACCGAGAGCAGACAGAAAACAGCAGTCTGACATCACAATGCTGGAACTTAAAAGGCTTATAGTGACTTGCTCCTTGGTAAAAAACTAACCCACAGGAAAGCTGCAGCCCCAAGTAGCCCTTTTTATTGGCTTTCCCTCTGGTGAGGAACAAGGGCTGTACAGACAGACCTTCACCGAGGCCAATAAGGGCAAATGCCCTGGAATCAAGATAAAAAACCAAGATAAACAAACTCCACAGGAGGGGTAAAAGTATCTTCCCAGTGGGTTTTTTTGAGACAGGCTACAAACTCCACTCTCCCCATCATCATTTTACCAAACAAGTTTTTTACATCATCCCCCACTTTCTGTCTCCTCAGTCTATACCCACAGCTGACACCAACTGGACCTTCTGGAGGTTTTGTGTCTGGTACCATCCAAGTGCAGGAGGAGGCCAAATCAGAGGATGCACCAGCAACAAGGGAACTCCTCCACACAGCCTGGATCAGGTGTCCTGGTAAGTTATTCCAGATATAATCTCAAAGTTGCTCATTCACAATATGTACAGTATGTACAAAGAAGCAAAACACCAGCAAAAAAAAAAAGCTGAATGTGTATTCAGGGCTTGAAATGACTACAATTAACTGATGAATTGCAAAGTTTTTTTCTCATTCATGCATTTTAAAGGATTCAGACCCTGGAAAAGCCCTAGCCATATATAAAGGGCCTGGGACATCTATTTAAACATGTTTCACAAAACTGATAAGAGCAACCACAACTACAGCACTCTGCTGGGACAAAACAAAATAAAGTTACCCAAAAGCATCAGCAAGTTATAACCAAGGGCCTCACTTTGTGCTGCACTTTGGATTTACAGTAACTACAACACTTGCAAGTTGTCATAGATATTGCAAGCTCAAAGCAAGGAGGAAGACTGAGGAGAACACTGCCACTTGGTGGAAAAAGGGGATAGGAAACATTTGCAACTGCTCCAAGTAAAACTGATTTTACAAAGACGTTCCATCCCCCCCCCATCCCAAGTGAATTTCTTAACAGCACGGCTGGTGCAACTCCACCAGTGTCCCTGCAATGCCTCACACACCCACACCTGCTCTGCTACAGCCACCTCTCCCCAAGTGCCAGCTGCCTGGTTAGCTAAAATTCAAAAAAAAAATACCCCAAAAGGCCAGAGGAGACAATTCCCTTTTTTACTTATGTATGAAGACATCTATTAAGGATGACATGGAAGTCTGAAACTGCTGAGTTTCAGACTCAGTTCAGATTTGCCTCCCTGCTACTCTTCTCAAACCTCACCTTTCACACCATGCTGGGATGGCAGAAATGACATTTTACCTTTCTTTTTATTTATTTTTACTTATTTATTAAATTTAATTTACATTTTCAGTTCTTGCAGAGTCTACCCAACACATCAAATGCCTTTTTTTCCCCCCAATGTTTCTTTGCTTGCCCACTGAAGCTGAAATGCTGCTCTGTGGCCACGTGGAGCTCTTCTCCAGAAGCACAAAATGCACCTGGACAGCAGCACATACAACTCACTGAAACCAAGAGGCTTTTTAAAAAAGCTAACATGAAATGACAGCAAGATATTAAAGCAGCAGCCACCCAATTCAGTGGTAAGATTTCTGTAATGCATCATCACTCAGACAAGAGTTACTATAGTCCCAATTTCATTCTTTCTCTCTCTGCCAGATCTATTCTCCATTGCCCTCAAGTCCTACAGCACTTCTCTAAAAGTGAAATGAGATTCTTGCTACAGGGCTCTACAACAGGAGGTTGTGGTGATGTACACCAAATTTATCTTTTAAGGAAAACCTGTATTTTTCTTTCACAGCACACATTTGAATCCAGCTGTTTTTACAGAAACATCTTGCATGTTTATTACAAGGGCCAAAAATGTTGAAGTAGAAAAAAGATAAAAAGTGGGAGATTACCTTTTCCTGTTTTCAAAAAAAAAAAATATATTTTTCTTGCCACAGAAAGGGAAACAGTGCATTCCATTTCCACTGGATGCCAAAGGCACTGGTGATATTTCACACACTGAGACTTCACCAGCTGCAGTGCAGCTGCCAAGATTTTCAACTGTGTATCACTATAAACCCCTAAAAATATTGCAGATCCTGGAAGAAGGTGCTGCTATAAAACTAACTCAAGTAGAACAGCTAAACATATTCACTTGCCTTGATTTTAACCTGTCAAAGCTCTGTGGTAAATTAAATGCTCTACAGAATTTCACTTTGCAGCACAGTCCTCTGGCTTTTGTAGCAGTTTAGAGACTGTCTGCATCCTTGAGGAAGCTGCTGGATAAAATAAATGCACTTGCAACTGTTAATCACTCGGTATCCCACAAGACTGCTTGTATTGAGCTCACATAAAAATTTAAGCACTCTATAAAGTTTCATATGGATTTGGTCTTTTGTTTTCCAGCTTTTAGCCTGACCTATGTTCCTGTGTGCTGTTAAACACCTGCTGCTCAGCAGAAACAAGGTGTAAACCCAAGGCAAAGATGATTTCAACTATTTTGCATAGCTATCACCTGGGGATCTTATTTCATTTCTTAAAATTTGAAATGCAACCTTTACAAAACTGCTTCATTTAGAAGAACAGAGTTAAGGACAGAGACAACTGAATTGATTTTGACACATTTTGTGACTTCTAAGAGCATAAGATCAATTATTCATTAAGTTGTTCTAAATGAAATATTCCAACTAAAACTGCTCATAACAGAATTCTGTAAACTCTGTACTGAAGGCTACATCTCTCAGATCACTGCAAAACAGCTGAGCTGCTGTCAGACAACCTACCTCTGATCTAGTGCACAAGAGGACTAAATTCATGAATGCAGAACTCGCTTATGATCAGTCTGTTAACTACCTTTGGCAGAAGCCAGAACTAAAGTCAAAAAAACATGTTAAAGCTACAAAAGCAAAGTGTGGAACTATCTACAGGTCACAAAAAAACACCAAGCCATGCTGTTAAGACTTATTCCTCTTGTACTGAACTTCCCCCCCCACCACACCACCACACTTTCAAATACCTTTAGGTCACCAGCCTCAGGTTTTTCAGTCTCTGAATCGTCATCTTCCTACAAGACAAGAATTTACAGGATTAAGCTTAAAGAGCAGGCCTGGCAAGTAACTGCACTTACAGCAAAGGGCTCGTGTTCAGCAGCCCAGCAGAAGTCCAAGCCCCTTTCCAGGGAAGGTAGTTTTACCCCACCCACTCATGAGCAGCGAACAAGTCCTACAGTCAAAGGAAGAAGTGTTTGTTTGGTTTGAGGGGAGTTTGTAGGCAAAAACATCACTGAGTAGCAGATGTCCCCTGCAAAACTCATGCAGCTCCAGAATGCTCAGAACTAGACAATAGGAAGCAACAGAACTGGGGAAAAAAAGCATTTGTCATTTGGTAACTCTGGTCTCTTCCAGTGGCAGACGGGCTTTTGGTGGTGTTCCAGTTCAGCAGTACCCACAGAAAAAGCAGCATTTGCAAGACCTGTGATACTCTCAAGCATCAGCAACACACACAGGACACATGGCTGGCCTGCCACCAAACCACACATGCAGGCTTGGAGAGCACCAAGTTCCAAGGATCTGGTGATCCAGCAGACAGCACACCTTCCTTGTGAGTGTGGAGCTCCCGTGGCCTCGCTTGCTGATGACATGAACCTCCACAGAAGGGAACCACTGACAAACTGCAGTGTTTTAGGGAACAGACTCCATTTTCTTTTTCTAGCCAGAAATTAAACAAAGAACTGGGCAAATTTCTGCCCTGTGAGAGCTTAAAACACTGAACACAGCCTCGTGTGAAAATCTACACCATGTGAGAAGTAAGTTCCAGGTTTGGTCCCCTGCTGTCCCACTGTTCTGGGAGCTCCCTCACTGGGGATCCTACAGGCACCTGCCTTTCTACACAAATACATACTCTGGGTTCAAAAGAAGTTTGAGGAGCAGAAATTGTTTTTCATGTTCAAACAACTCAGCAGAATGTTTTTTTCCTTGAAACTTTGCCACAAATTTCAACGTTGGCCCTAAACCAAGAACTTGGTGTTTCAGCTTCAAAAGGAAAACAAAGAAACAAATGATAAATGCAAGTGAAAGGAAGAGTTTACAAGGAACCACCTCGGAGTGTTAGTACACAAGAAAGTTCTCCCAAGGCAGGCTAGAGACTGACCACACAATAATGTCAGTAAGTTTTAATTGCCTAAGATGCCTCTGCCACAAAAGTAAGACATCAAACTCCTTCACTTCAGTTACTCTTCAGCTTCTTTCTGAAAGATGCACATTTGACAATAATTCAGTCTTAACTGTCAAAGTTTAATTACAGTGAGTCTGTAACTAGAAAAGAACTGTAGTACTAAGTAACTTGGTGTTTATCATAAGTGAGGTTTCACTTCCCTCCACAGTCCCACCTATATTATACTGGTAAAAGTAATTTTCATTAAAGCAATAATGGGTTGAATGATTCATGTTGTGGACAGGTAACTGAAACAGCTCTCCTAACCTAGCAGGGGGTATCACTAAAACAACATTAACAAACAAAGCAGAATCACTGAGAATTGCCTTTGCTAAAAACCAGGCTTTTCAGTCACTATTAAGGTTGATAAAATAAGCACTGAGTTTAGATCAAAGCCCAACCTGAGTTCAACTCATCCTGCTTTCTAAAGACAACTCATAACCAACATGAGCCACTGGCACAGCAACGGCAAGGAAGTTTTCAATTCTGCTCAGAGAATATTTAATGCAAAAAAACCCAGGCATTGCTCTTCTGCAACAAAGCTGGACAGAAAGTACCCTGTGTAACCTGCAGTGTAACCACAATTCCATGGCTGACACTAGAGTGACTAATGGATTGTCATCCCTTGAACAGCAACCTACACCTCCCAGATGATGGCACAGCTGCAACCTGCACTAAAAACTGTGTGTGCAACAAAGCTACTCCACGTACAAGCCATTTACAGTGCTCACTGAACACAGCTCATCACACCCAGGGCTTTCTTTGAACTAGAGACCTCAGTGAAGGAGGCTCTACGAGTGCTGGATATAAAAAGAAGAATCCCTAAAGCAGTAAAGAAGCTTCACTGCTTTGCTAAGCCAGATGCCAGGGGCAGCAGAACAAAACTAAAAGCAAGAACAAGACACTGACAAATTTCTTGGCTGCTCCTTGGGCAAACAGATGGCAGGAACAGTGAGTGTCTCCTCAGAGTCTGATCTAACACACACAGAGTAGAGCTCAGTGAGGAAAGGTTGTAGAAACAGCCCTGAGTTTTTTTGCTATGGGTAGAAGAAAGAACTAGAACAGGAACAAGATAACACTTGTAGTGGTAAGAAAAAGTCTGGTGAGAAAAAAAAGCAGACAAATTCCCCCTTTTCCCCCCAAACTTCTTGTTTCTCTCACACAGACAGAGGACAGAACTACAGATCCTTTTGTGTGTTACAGCTGCACCCCCAGGCTGTGAGTCCATGCCCTGTCTCACCACACATCAGTTATCTCAGTGTTCAGGTGATGCCAGACACGTGCCATGCACCTGAGACAGACAAAAGCCACTCACATGGACACAGGACACTCACACCAAGGTAGCCTGATGCAGTGAGTGGACTGAGTTATGCACAAAATAATAACTTAAGACACCGCAGAACTTTATTCTTTTTAATCCACCAGCTGACAGTGTGGTCCTCTTGAAAGGTTTTCGTACATGCCAACTATGCTTAAGGAATAATTTCTATTTGGTGTGGCTGTAACAGCCTTTTTCCCACAAAAGAGTCAAACAACACCACTACAGTCACGAGCAACACGAGCTGTGCCAAGCTGCAGAGGGGCTCCAAGGCAAATGCTCAGCACTTGAAAACAACGTGAACAGCAGCATTTGGAAAGCGCTGAAACCCCCACCAGGAGTCACATATTCTGGGTTCCATCACAGGTCACAGCTCGGGAGCTTTTTTTTTTTTTTTTGGAGAGAGAGTAAAGCCTCTGCAACGTGTGCGAGGGGTCACGGGAGGTACTTACTGACTGCCTGCTGTTCTCATCGTCCTCCTCTTCGTACCCTTCCTCGTCCCCATCCACGCGGGTGAAGTCATCTTCTCCGTACCCAACCGAGACCAGGCCTCCTTTCTCACCTGAAGAAGAAGAGAAAAGGTAAACCACGAGGTGAAAGGGCAGGTGACGGCGAGCGGCGGCGAGTGGGGCCTTCCCCCCACAATGGGGAAGGCGCCGGGCCGGAGCGGGCCGCGCGCGGGGGGAACCCTGGCGCCCCGGCCCGCCAGCTGCCCTGGGACCCCTGCCCGCCCTCACCCGCAGGCGCTCCCCCGTCGCTCCCCGCCGTGCCGGCCTCGCTGTCCGACTCTGGGTCCGAGTCCTCGGCGTAAACCGCCAGCGAGGACAGGACGCTGCGCTTCGCCGCCGCCATCTTCCGCCCCGCCCGCGGGGGCGCTTCCGGCGCGCCGCGATGACGCGAGGCGGTCGCCATGGCAACACCGCCCTTCTTCCGCCCGCACCGGGCTCCGGGGGCACCGGGCAGGCTTTGCGCTCACGGGCAGGGGCAGACACCGCTCATCGAGGCGGAGCGGGGGCTTTAGGGGGGCGGGGGGGGGAGGGATAAAAGGGGCGCGGGCTGGTTTTGTAGGTGCGGGCCTTTTAAGAGAAGCTCCTGACGTCATCTCGTGGCGCCGCGACAGCACCTGCCGGGTCGTGAGCGAGTGTGAGCGTGCGGAGCGGAGCGGGGCTGGGACGGGGCGGGGGTGGGACACAGGGGGAAGGGCAAAGTCCCTGTGTGGGTGGGAAAGACCCGCCTTCCCCCCCGTGTCGGGTGCGGGCGGGTTTGGGGGGCAGCGAGTCCCCCCCGCTCTGCTGTGCCCGACCTGTGCCCCGTGGGAACCCAGAGCAAACCATATTGGGGTACCCTTCAGTGAGGGGCCTGGGTGAGCACCCCGGGAGGCCCCAGAGGATGGGGGAGCGTGGCGGGGCAGCCCCGAGGGAGGCGGTGCAGGTGGCGGTGGGACGGGGCAGGGAAGGGTGGCAGCGCTCGGACGAGCTGTGGTTCCTCTCGCAGCGTCCCCAGGATGAGCAGGGAGGCTCCCCCGGGCCTGGAGGGCAGGGTGAGGAAAACACTGCGGAAGGTCTTCGGGTTCGAGTCCTTCAAGACTCCCCTGCAGGAAAGCGCGACCATGACTGTGGCGAGAGGTGAGGCCCGGCATCGGAGAGGTGTGGAACACGGCTGCTTGTCCTTCTTCCCGTGGGAGGATCCCTGCAGGATCTGGGATTGTGCCTGTTGTGAGGAGACTAATCTAAACAGGATCACCTGGCCCTCCAAGCTCTCCTCTGCTCTGGTGTGGTTTTGGTGGCACAGGAACACGAGCACGTGCTGTGCACAAGCTCTGCCTCTTCTCCTTTCATTCATTTCTTAACACCACTGTTGCATCAACCAGGAAATAGGAAACTTAAGGTGCACCTGCCAGCACGTTCATGGTCAGATGAGGTCAAAACTCTTCACATTTATACCTTTTCAGAGCAAAAGTGCCCTCGTGTTAGAGACAATACCAGTGGAAGACTCGATGTCCTGGCACAGTTGATCTCTGTTCTCTGAACCACGAGGCCATTGTCAGAAATGTGTTTTTGCTGGTGTTAATGCACCCCCCAACACCCTGCTGGGGGTGGGACAGGCAGCTCACACAGACAAGCTGCCAGCTCCCCCAGCAGCTCTCACAGTGTGAGTCAGAACAGTGCCCAACTCAGGGTATAATCAGAGTTTTCACTGATCACCATTCGCTGTTGACAACAGAGCAGCCAACAGCAGAGTTCTGTGTGCAGGGTGTCCCTGCCTGTTAACATGGTGTCCCTGGCACCTTCCTGCCTTCAGGTGGGTGGTGGTCAGTGCAGTGACAGTCACTCACTGTGTGAGATTATCTTTGTGGTTGAGATTTCCAAACTATATTTTGTATGAGGGACCTTTCTGGGATAAGCTTTAAGAGGATTTGTAAAGGTTTGTCGTGGGGCTGGTAATCTGGTAACTGAAGGTCTGTAAAAATGAAATGGAAGCAGCTCCTCTGGAAGAGATTTAGCACAAATAACTCATTTAACTTCTCTTTATCTTGGTTTCTGTGTAACTTCTGGCACTTTTGTACAGCTGTTTCTAAATGTTTGCAAAGCAATCAGAGATTATTCTTTGAAGGAAAGCACTGCAGGCATGCAAAGTATTGCTGTGCTTTTAGAACCTAAAATGGAGTGTCTTTTGTTGATTATGCCACACAGTACATGCACACACATACTGTTCTCACACACTACAAGCCTTTCTGTCCAACCCCTCCACTCTGAGCCCTGGGAACTCCCCACCACTCAGTGGCCTTGAGCTTTCTCCTCTTGTTTTTGCAGGTGAGAAGGATGTCTTTGTGTGCATGCCCACAGGGGCAGGGAAATCCCTGTGCTACCAGCTTCCTGCAGTTCTGGCAGTGGGCATCACCATTGTCATTTCACCTCTGATTGCACTGATTCAGGTAACTGTCTCCTGTTAGCTGTGGAAAAGCAGCCAGGGAAGGGGGTTGGGAGACTGGAAGCACGGCTGCCTCTTGTCTTTCTGCTCATCAGTCTGCAATTCACCTGCCTCTGGATGCTCTTGATGTCTCAGTGTGTTTTCCTTACTCTGGTGATAGGTGAGGAGAGCAGAGTATCTCTGGTATGATGCTTTACAGTTCTCTAAAAGGATGGGTTTTTTCTTTAAAAATAACATTGTGGCTTTTATAACTGAGCCTTCCCTCCTTTTCTCCACTTGTCTGTCACCTTCTGGGTGTTAGAGAGAAGCAGCATAGCAGAGTAACACAAACGGACCAAAAGATGGATCTTTCTTGGTGCTGGTGTCTTTCTTTATTTCCACTTGCTTTTCATTTAGTTTGTTTTGTATTTGCTCTAGGATCAAGTGGATCACCTGCTGGCTCTGAAGATCAAAGCCTGCTCTCTGAACTCCAAGCTGTCTGCCCAGGAGAAGAAGACCATCCTGGCTGACTTAGCAAGTGAGAAGCCCCAAGTAAAGCTCCTGTACATCACCCCAGAGATGGCAGCTGCCTCTTCCTTCCAGCCAACGCTGAACTCTCTGGTGTCCAGGAACCTCCTGTCCTACCTGATCATAGATGAGGCTCACTGTGTGTCCCAGTGGGGACACGATTTCCGACCCGACTACCTGCGCCTGGGCGCTCTGCGCACCCGCATCCCCGGCACGCCGTGTGTTGCCCTGACTGCCACTGCCACCAGGCAGGTCCAGGAGGACATCGTGGCAGCTCTCAAGCTAAAGCAGCCACTTTCCACGTTTAAGACTCCTTGCTTCAGATCCAACTTGTTCTACGATGTGCAGTTCAAAGAGCTCTTGGCTGATCCTTACGCCAACTTGAAGGATTTCTGTCTGAAGGCGCTCGAAGTGAAGGACACCACTGGGGTAGGTTTTACCTTTAGGGAAGGAGGCTGAACTGGACAAAATCTGTCTTAATGGTCACTGATATTCCAGTGGTTGGTATGGCCCTGCCAAGTCTGTGGCAGGGAAGGAGGAGGTCCCAGGAAGGAAAGTGATAATGTATATTTTCTAAGTCCTCTAAAAGTGCTCATGTATGTTTTTTAGTTCCTCTAAAACAGGTAGAATGTGAAGGTTGTGTTCCTTTCTGAGGTGAGAAACCATGTTCTACAAAGTAACATCCAGAAAACTATGGCCACTGAGCTCCCTCCAGGTGGCCTGGAGAGGACAGCAGAGGCAGGGCAGCCAAAGAGAAGATCAGCACTAAGAGGGATGTGGTGTCACATTTGCAGACAGCATTAATGTGATAAAATTAAATAAATTAATTAATTTTAAAAATTAATCAGGAAGAATTTCTTCACAGAAAAGGTTGTCAGGCATTGGAACGGACTGTCTGGGGATGTGGTGGAGTCACCATCCCTGGAGGTACCCAGGAAAGGACTGGACATGGCACTCAGTGCTCTAGTCTAGTTGACAAGGTGGTGATCAGTCAAAGGTTGGACTTGAGGATCTTGGTCTTCTCCAACCTAAATGATTCTGTGATTCTGTGTCCTCAGAAAGGGGTTGCTCTAAGTGAACATAAATTAGGAACATGGGACGAGCATTTCCTCCTTGGTTTGTCACACCCTGGGTGATCATTGTATGTTTGCTTGTGCTCTGCTCTTCCAGTACGGTGAGGGTGAACAGAAGCATTTGAAATGTGTTTAATTTCCTGCTCTAACATTAATTCCCAGAATAACTCAGCAGCTCAGCTGTAACCTCTGCACCTGAGTGCATTTGTACAGCAGAGTGAGACGCTTCTTGCCTGGGACTGTATTTGCAGTTTTGTTGATTGGCTTCAGACAGTGTCGTGGACTTTGTTTCCAGGTGTTCTCAGGCTGTGGGATCGTGTACTGCAGGATGAGGGATGTGTGTGACCAGCTGGCCATTGAACTGAGCTGCCGAGGGGTGAAAGCCAAGGCCTATCACGCAGGTACTGCTGCATCTCTCAGGAGCTGCTTCAGCTGAACTGTGCCACCTCTCAGGCCTGGGTTGGGGCTGCCTAGAAAAGAGCTTTCTAGGCATGGTCTGCACTGTGTCTGATGCTCACATGTCAGGTCTGTGAGATAAGTGCAGGGCCTTCACCAGAATGGCATTCTCCTCTCTCCAGAACTTTTGGATCTTGCATGGCCTAAATATAACAACAGCTTTTATCCCGGGGGAGGAGAGCTAAGTTTTCCTCTTTGGAATAGAAACAGCTGCTGCTGACTTCTGCTTGGTCACAGGCCAGGCCAGTTTAAACATGTGCAGAAAGGAGTGGGTACATCAGTCAGTTTTAGCGAGGCTTGCAGTGAGGGAATGGAGGAGGAGAAAATCCTCGTTTCTTTCTGTTTGTTTTTTGTTTTGGGGGTTTTGTTTGTTTGTTTGGGTTTTTTGTTTTATTTTGTTGTTGATTCCTTCCCTCTCTTTCCCTTCCCAGGACTCAAGCCAGCTGACAGGACTTCCATCCAGAATGAATGGATGGAGGAGAAGATCCCTGTTATTGTTGCAACCATCAGCTTTGGAATGGGAGTAGACAAAGCAAACGTCAGGTGTGTGAGGCTGAGTGTTGGGCACCACCAGAGACTGAAACCTGAGCAGTGGGAAGGAAAAGTCTCATTGTCTCTGTTACCTGATACACCTGACTCAAATGCCTGAGGAACACTTGCTAAAACCCACAAAACCAGAGCTGGGAGGTTTTAGCTTAGAAGCAGCAAAAACAAACCTGGAAGGGCTTTGTAAAGAAACCAAACACAAGGCAGCAGAGCTCCTCTTTGCCAGTCATACCCAAAAATAAGAAAATTGGAGGAATGCTTGTTTTCTGCCACACCCCCCAGGGTTTCAGAGAGAGCCATCTCAAGGCACTCACAGCTGCCTCTTTCACTTCCCTTAGTGAAACAGTTGCCGTTAAAAAGCAGTG